GATTTCAAATGGTTGAATTTTTGTTTCCATTTGTCTCCATGTATTGCTTAATCTCTGTCCTAATTTGTTCGTTGATCTTTTTAGTTGTATTTGCTGTATTTTCATACTATATGTGGTTTGGGGAGGAAATTTCTGCCTCACTTCTCATGCCATCATCTTTTTCCTCTCCAGTCCATTGATTATTTAGAAGCATGTTGTTTAGCTTCCATGTGTTTGTAGGCTTTTTTGTTTTGTGTAATTTATTTCTAGTTTTATACCATTGTGTTCTGAGAAGCTGCTTGATACAAATTTCAGTCTCTTTGAACTTATTGAGGCTCTTTTTGTGGCCTTGTATGTGATCTATTCTGGAGAACATTCTGTATACACTTGAGAAAAATGTGTATCCTGCTGATTTGGGGTGGATTGTTCTGTAGATATGTTAAGTCCATCTGATCTAATGTATTGTTCAGTGTCTCTGTTTCCTTATTTACTTTGTCTGATTGGTCTATCAATGTGAGTTGTGTGTTAAAGTCTCCTAAAATGAGGGTGTTGCAATCTATTTCCCTCTTTAATTCTGTATTTGTTTTACATATTTAGGTACTCCTATGTTGGGTGCATAGATGTCTATAATGGTTATATCCTCTTGTTGGACTGACCACTTTAGCATTATTTAATGTCCTTCTTTTTTACTTTCTTTGTTTTGAAGTAAATGTTTTCTTATGTAATTTCTGCTACTCTTGCTATTTTCTATTATTTGCATGAAATATCCTTTTCTATCTCTTCACTTTTAGTCTGTGTATATTTTTGTGTCTGAAATGAGTCTCTTGTGGGCAGCATAAATGAGTCTTATTTCTTTATCCATTCTGCCACTGTGTCTTTTGTTTGTATTCAGTCCATTTACATTTAAGATAATTATTGATAGGTATGTACTTACTGCATTTTATCAATTGTTTTCTGGTTATTCTTATAGTTCCTCTATTCCTTTCTTCCTCTCTAATATTCTTGTTATTTGATGGTTTTCTTTAGCATTGTGATTGGATTCCTCTTTTTTTTTAAGCTTTTTATGTATCTATTGTAACTTTAGGTTTGTGTTTGTCATAAGGTTCAAGAATAGCTTCCTGACTACGTAACAGTCTATATTAACTTGATGATTGCTCTATTTCAAACACAATCTAAAGTACTTTTTTCTTCTTCTTCCCCCTCCACATTCATGTATTAGGTGTTATAATCTGCACTTTTTGTGTATCCCTTGACTGATTTTGTATATAGTTTGTTTCACTACTTGTGTTTTAATTTCATAGTTGCTTGGTAATTAATGGGTCTACTACCTTTACAGCGGTTTTATTTTCACTGGTGAAAACTGCTTAGCCTTAGGAATATTTCCATCTATAACAGTCCCTTTAACATATCCTTTAAGGCTGTCTTAGTGGTTATAAATTTCTTGAGACATTGTTTATCTGGGAATTGTTTAATCTCTTTTTCAAATTTGAATAATAATCTTGCTGGGTAGAGGATTCTTGGTTGAAGGTCCTTTTGTTTCAATACATTAAATATTTCATGCCAATCCCTTCTGGCCTGTTAAATTTCTGCTGAGAAGACTGCTGGTAGCCTGATGGGGTTTCCCTTATAAGTAATATTTTCTCTTTCTCTGGCTGCTTTCAGTACTGTCTCCTTATCTTTAATACTTGTCATTTTAACTGTTATATGTCTTGGTGTTGTCTTCCTGGGGTTCCTTTTGTTAGGGTCTCTGTGCTTCCATGACCTGATTGTTTCCTTCCCCAGATTGGGGAAGTTTTCAACAATTGTTTCCTCAAAGAGACTTTCTATCCCTGTGTCTCTCTCTTCTCCTAGTGGCCCTATTATGTGAATATTGTTTCATCTGGATTGGTCACATAGCTCTCTTATTGTTCTTTCATTCCTAGAACTTCTTTTTTTCTCTCTGCTCCTCAGCTTCATTGTGTTCCTTTTCTCTAATTTCCATCTCATTTATTGTCTCCTCTACTTGCAGTAATCTATTATTCATTCCCTCCATTGTATGTTTCATTTCAGTTATGTATTCTCCAGCTCTGAGTGGCTCTTTTTCAGCTCTTGTATCTTTTTTTTTAAAAATTCTTTATTAAGGTATGATTGATGTACACTCTTATGAAGGTTTCACATGAAAAAACAATGTGGTTACTACATTCACCCACACCATCAAGTCCCCACCCATACCCCAATGCAGTCACTGTCCATCAGTGCAGCAAGTTGCCACAGATCCACTATGTGCCTTCTCTGTGCTACACTGTTCTCCCCATGATACCCCACACCATGTGTACTAAACATAATACCCCTCAGTCCCCTTGTCACTCCCTCTCCACCCACTCTCCCACACCCCTCCCCTTTGGTAACCACTAGTTCATGCTTGGAGTGTCTGAGTCTGCTGCTATTTTGTTCCTTCAGTTTTGCTTCACTGTTATACTCCGCAAATGAGGGAAATCATTTGGCACTTGTCTTTCTCCACCTGGCTTATTTCACTAAGCATAAGGTCCTCCAGCTCCATCCATGTTGTTCAGCTCTTGTATCTTTCTGTTGCAGTCCTCCATGAGAGTCTCAATACTTTTGTGCAGATCATATTAATGACTTTTACTTTGAAATCTTTATCAAGAATATTGGTGATCTCATGAATCCAGAAGACCTCTTCCATTTAGCCCTCTTTCTGGTGCCTTATCCTGTAGTTTTGTTTGGAACATATTCCTCTGCCTCTTCATTTTGTTAGGGTTTCTGTGTTTCTTCCTTTGTGTAGATGGATCTGCTATGCTTCCTGGCCTGGAGAGTAATAACTCTATGAAGAAGGCCTCCTGTGGTATCCAGAAGCTCAAGACTCTTGACTCTCCAGTGCCTGGTTCTCCTTTGCAGTGGAGCCCTGGTTGCTCTTGGTGGGCAATGGGCCTTTCTGTCTGTCTGCTAGCAGTGGTTAATCTCAGTGTGCTGCAGCTGGAAGTTTGCCTCAGCCCACCCTTTCTGATCAGGGCAGTGGCTTTTGCTGGGATCATTGTGGATGGGGCTGCCCTCTGCCTGCCCTGTAGTGATGGCGGGGATGTCCTGCAATGAGGGTGGGGTGGTTGTGCAGCTCTGGGCCAGGTTGGGGGATGAGCGACATGGTGGCAGGGAGCACTGTGGTGGTGTCATACAGGCACCCCCTAGCAGTGGTGTAGCACATGGCACTGGGCTTTGCCTCCAGCAGGGATGGAGGAGCTCTTGGATCTGGCCCCCGCAGGCACCTCCCCGGTTGGGCTGAGAAAGCTGGGAGAGCCTCCCTCTGCCTGCCAGGCAGCAAAACCTGGCTGCCAGGCTGAGTGTTCTAGTGCTGCTGGCAGTATGCAGGGAAGCGCCTTGGGGCAGAGCTGCTAGCGAGGGGAATGGAGTGTCTGGGGCTCCTGAGAGTGCCAGAACTGTTGGGCCAAGGGTGAGCTGGGAGATATGTCCACCTGCACTTTCTTTTGCAGAGAAAGCTCTGTCCAGCCTTGCCCCTCTGGCTCCCCTCCCACTGCTAGCAAGTCTTTCAAATGGCTGCCTCTGCTTTGGGTCTCAGAAGGACTGGGGAAGCTTGCCTGTCCTCCACTGCAGCTGAGATCTCAGCCTCCCAGAGTGTTCCAACTATCCTTGGTGTCCAGCCCTGCTAATCACCAAAACCCAATGTAGTGTAGACTCATGCTCCCAGAGTAGATCTCCAGAGCCAGGTATGCCGAGTTCCTGAGAGCCTATCCCCCTTCCTGCTCCATTCCTCTTCCTCCTGCCTGTGGGCTGGAATGGGGGAAGGGCTTGGGTCCCACTTAATTGCATCTCAGTCACTTTACACTTTACTGTATGGTCTTCTTTCCTTTACCAGGTGTAGGTGGTCTGTTCTGCAGTCTTCAGGTCATTTTCAAGTTCAGTTGTATTTTCTGTAGTTACTTCCTTGGTGTGTGTGGCAGGAGGTTTCTGCCTTGCCTTCCTACTTTGCCATCCTTTTTCTCTATCTCCCAGTCAAAAACCAAATAGTTTTTGCCCCCATCAAAAGAGTGGAATGGCTAATGTAGAGGACATGGGCTAACAGGAATTGTGCATGAATCCAGAAGCTCTTTTGCTTTGGACATTCACTCTCATTCCCTCACTCTTGTTTTCCCACTCTTGGGGTCTATAAAGTGGGTATGAACGCATATGTTACTGTGACCCTGGTGTGAAACCTGGCTCTGCTGGTCTCTAGATGTATAAACTTTGGTGAGTCACTTATCCTCTCTGAGTGAGGTTGATAGCACAGAACCTGGCATATAAGAACCATTCACTAAATTGTTGCTTTTGTTACTACTCAAAGGTAAAGGACAGGAATTTAACATCCCAAAGTTTCTTGTCACTCTCAGTCCTGCCATTTCGTGAAATCTCATGACTACAACCTCTTGTGGAGACAAGAGGCTAAAGGTAGTTGCTTCTCCATAGGTTATCATGTTTTTTACCACCTGACTTCACTGCTTTGTCATAGCACATTGACTTGTGATGAGTGTCTATTCATGAGCAGCCAATCCATCAGCTTGCCCAAAAGATGACTCGGTTCAAGCCAGTTTGCTCCAGGAAGCTTTCCTTGACTACCTGTCTCTCACCAACCCCATTTTCTTGCATTCTGCGAATACCTAACTGCATACCATATTTGATCTTGTTTCTCATGTCACTTCACTTTCTGCTATTATCAAACTCTTTGAGGACAGTGAATCCTCAGTGTTGCACAAAACTTAGTCTCTAAGTAGATGCATAGCACAAGTTTAGTTTTATTATTAAAGTAATGATTCTAATAAATTCATTGTTGTGTTACTTTTTCCTCCTAGCTTTTCAAAATGTGCATTCCTTTTAACAATGAACATTGCAATCCCATGAGGCAGGCATACAAATATTAGACTTTTTTTCAATAAGGAAGGAAACTGACACAGAAAAAGCCCAAATGACTTTCTTCAAGCAATGCACTTGAGATGATGGCGATCCTGCTCCCTGCCCGGCCCCATCATTCTTACCTTGGTGACATAGGGTACATATTGTGGCCGTTTGGCATTGAGGATGATTCCTATGGTGCAAGGAATGAGAACCAGGATCAGTGATACCATAATGCCACCATAGGGTACTTTGTCCTTGAGGTTCCCATCATAGATCCCCTTGGAGTAGATATACAGGAGGAGGGGCATCATGCCCAGGGCAAAGAAGGTGGAGCACGTGGTCATCACAATACTGAGTGGGAGAAACAAGAATAGGGCAAGGAGAGAGAGCCCATTAATATAGACTATTGTTTTTTACTTAAACAATATAAATTTATTTTCTCACAGTTCTGAGGCTGGAAGTCCAAGGTCAAGGTGCCGCCAGGGTTGGTTTTCTTTAAGGCCTCTCTCCTTGTCTTATACATGGCTGCCCTCTTGCTGCCTCGTCACATGGGTGTCCCTCTGTGAGTTGTGTCCTAGATATCTCTTTCTCTTCTTAATATAGACTATTTTGTTGAGTGCCTATTATGTGCCAGGCACTGTGCTAAACACTTTACATACATTACTTCCTTTACTTCTCCCAGGAGCTTTACAAGATACAGGCTGCAGGCTGATATTCTCATGTTCTTTACTTTCTGGTTTATCCTTACATTATTTAAGATAAATTGAGTGTGAGTCTCAGAGTGTGAATAATATATCCTCTCAGCTCTAATCGTCTTCTAATTTGACTATTACCATTTCCATTTGGAATCTAATACATACGAGGCCTCAGACCCTGTACAGGGAGAGGCTCTCCAAAAGGCCGACTGAGAGAATGAAGCTGCTAGGAGACATTTTGGATTTGTGGACATTATTCATGTTATAATATACGGCTCTGAATTCCATTCTAGTGGGAAAGCTGGGGGTGAGGGCTTGGCAAGAACAGGAAAACCACACCAAGTATGTGGTCCTCCTCCTTACAGCCCTATCATCTATTTACACTTCTTCATGGTTACTGTAGTGGTGAAATGTGACTTAAATGAACACCAAGTATGGCCTAGATGGAAGGGCACAGAGAGTAACCAGCAAGAACAGCAGCAGGCAGAGGTATCACAAGGGATAAGAAGCCATCACAGGTGAGGAGAGACCCTCAGAGAATACTGTGGACTAAATAATGGGAAAACTTCCTTCATGAACACCTAAAACACTTCAGCACATACTTAAGCTTGTAAAATTGTAAGGGAGTTTTCCAAGGACCAGAAACAAAGAATGCAAAGTAGCTAGTGGGTGATTGTATGATGAAGCAGTGCTGTGTGGACTGGGTAGGGATGGAGAGCTAATCTTGGTAATCTGGAGGGTTAGGTTTTAACACCCAAGGGAGGTTTTTGGTTTTGAGAAGAGTTGAAACTGAAACATTACTAATAATTAGATTTTAATTTTTCCGATAATCCTTTTATCTCATGGGCTAAATATGAAACCATAATAGACAAAATATTTGGAAGAGAATAATGATACAACACATTTTAAAACATGTGAGGGGATAAACTTTGATTAGACAATAGTTTCTTAGAGCACCTAAAGCACAAGAAACCAAAGAAAAAATAAATTTGACTTCATCAAAATGAAAAACCTTATGTCTCAAAGGATACTATCAAAAAAGATATACAAATGGCCAATAAGCACAAGAAAAGATGTTCAACATCATTAGTCATTAGGGAAATACAAATCAAGACTACAATGAGATACCACTTTATACCCACTAGTATGGTGACAATAAAAATGATGGATAAAAAATTTTGGTGAGGATGTGGAGAAATTGAAATCCTTATATGCTGTTGATTGGAATATAAAATGGTACAGCTGCTCTAGAAAAACAGTTCCTCAAAAAATTAAATAGTGTTACCATATGATCCAGCAACTCTACTCCTTGATACTCAAAAGAGAATGAAACACATGTTCACACAGAAACTAATATATTAATATTCATAGCACCATTATTCATAATAGCAAAAAAGTTGAACACAATGAAAATACCAGCTGATGAATGAATAAGCAAAAAATATGGGACATAAAGCAATGTAAGTACTGATACATGCTATCACATGCACGAACCTTGGAAACATTATGCTAAGTGAGAGAAGCAGAAACATAAAAGGTCACATATTGTCTGATTCCATTTATATGAAATTTATGGAGACATAAAGATTAGTTGTTGCCAGGGGCTGGGATGAAGAGAGGAATGGGGAGGGACTGCTAATTAGACAGTGGTGATAGTTGTACAACTATACTTGTGAATATACTAAAAGGTATTGAATTTTTCACTTTTAAAGGGTGAATTTTGTGTTATGTGAATTATATCTCAATAAAAAAATAAATTTAAAAAATCTTGGGAGCAGCAAAAATAATTCTCAGAGGAAAATTTATAGCCTTAAATGTTTACATAGGAAAAGACTAAAAATTAATGAGCAAAGCATCTTACTCAAGAAATTAAAAGAAGCAACGCAAATTTTAGAAAAAAATATTAAATGGAGAGAATAAATTTTAAAAATAACATAAATTAACTAAGAGGATCAATTAAACCAAGAGTAGATTCTTTGCAAAGTCCAATAAAATAGATTGTTTCTCACATCACTTCACTTTCTGCTATTATCAAACTCTTTGAGGACAGTAAATCCTCAGTGTTGCACAAAACTTAGCCTCTAAGTAGATGCATAGCACAAGTTTAGTTTTAGATACTTCTGGCAAGACTAATCAAGGAAAAAGAAGGCACAAGTTGATTATATTAGGTATGTAAGAAAAAATAATTACAGATACACTAAAGATTATAGAGAGTCATAGAAGAAACCAAGGACAGTTTTGTACTTTAATTTTTGGTTTGGATTGAATGGGCAACTTCTTGGAAAATATAATAACTAACTCAAAATAAAGGTGAAAATGTGAAGCAACTTAGAATCACTAAAGGCATTTAATGAGCTTAAAACCTATCCTCCCAACCCCATATGGTACATATAATTTTAAAGGACAGTTCTGCTAAAGATTCAAAGTACAGATAGTCCCAAGCTGATATAAACAGGGAATACAATAAGAGGAAATATGCCCCAATTTATTCTATATGCATAGTATAATTTTAGAACCAAAGTTGCAAAAGGACATTCTGAGAAAGGAAAATGAGGACTATTCTTACAAACAAAGAAACAAAAGCTAGATAAAAATTAGCAAATGTATCTGGCAACGGCTTTAAAAATAATACAATTATAAAATTCACTTATCCCACCCTATTGACATATATCACTGTATTATCAGATTAAAGAAAAAATGGTATAATCAACTCATAGATGCAAAAAATTGTTCAACAAAATTCAATGTTAATGCATGATGAAAATTAGCACACTAGCAACAGTGGAAATTTCCTAACCTGAAAAAGGCATCCTTCAAAAATCTACAACAAACAGACTTAATGGTGAAAAATGAGAACGTTTCCTTTAAGGGGAATAAAGCAGATACCTGTTACCACTGTCTTTATTGTAAATCATACTATACATAGGTTTTTGCTACAACAGCAAAACATGAAATAGAAAATGTGTAGGGATGGGAAAGGAAAGATACCAAACTTTCATTATTTGCCAATGTTAGGATGGTCCACAGAGGAAATCCAAGTGTCTCTCAGGATCAGAGGGCCAGGGACTGGAGGAAAGGAATACATTTGGTTTTGTATTTATCCTTCCTGCTTAAGTTGTCAGAGCACTGCATACACCCTACTTTTGGATGTCGGTACCCCCGCTTGAGGGGTGGTTTTTGAGCCCCTGTTAACAGAGACACTGGAGGCCAACGGAGGGAGCTGTGAAGGGACCTGTCAGAAGCTCTACAGTGAAGTGGGAAACTTCGGAGAACCTGAATGGTGTCTGTCTTATCCTGTTTAGGCTTCCTACGTCATTGTGGGGAGGCCTGGGAGCCTCAGGCAGGGCAGTTGGTGAGCTGGAGGAGCAGCAGAAGTGGGCAGAGGGGTCCAGTTCCCTCTGGCACTCTCTTCTGTTCCCAGTGAGACAAGCCCACTTCAACTTTGAGAGCATTTTCTCTTGCTTGTGGGTCACCTGTAGTTTTTGGATCTTGTCTAGTGGCATCCTTGAGGAAGGAGCTGCCATGCCTGGCTGCCTTGAGAGGGCCACCTGGTGGCCTGGTTCCCCCAAAGGTGCCCACCTTACTGTGTTAGCTGGTGGTCCCCAGATGCACTCTAGCTGTGAGGTGGAATAATAGGGAAGAGAGAACCCAGAATCCACAAAACCTGGGAAACCTCTGGCAAGTCTTTGGACTTCAGTTTTCTCACCTGTGAAGTGGAATCAGTATCTTAAGATTCCCCTCAACTCTAAATGGGAACTAATATAATGTACTTACAGTTGTCTCAAACTGGCAGCCCCTGAGCTGCATCTGGCCCCTCAATATATACTGTTTGGCTTGCACAATGTTTTAATTTCTTTTTAGTGAGTTTCCAATATTTAAAAACTTGGAGATTGTATATAAAAATGGAGATTCTACCTTCTCTTTAAAAGTAGGAAATGGTGGCGGCTGTAGGTCCCCACTCCCACAGCACACCCAGGCAGAGATACTTGGAATCTGCCCTGTTTAGGGGGCTCCATGCTTCCCAGGCAGGCAGTCAGCCTCTAGCTCCTTTGTTTATGTACATGCCTGGCCCTGAAGGTACTGGAGTAAAAGCACAGGATTTGGAGGCCCCCGGACCTAAGACAAATTTATTAACCTCTCTAAGGCTCAGTTTCCTCATCTCTAAAACAGGACTGTTTACAGCACCTCCTCACAGGATGCTGTGTGAAGATCTCATGTAAAAGTGCTCGATGCAGTGCCTGGCTGTTTTTTATTATCAGTATTATTATTGCTACCATAATACATGCAATAAGTTGTCCCAGATGAACTCAAATTGGAATTCCAAGTCTGACAGCACGTGATGATAGATGGTAAGACTCACGTTCCACCGGTGGGGTCTGAGGCGTGGTTTAATGTGCATGGGAAGTCTGTGGAAGCAGGCTTAATGGCAGAAGATGGCCCTCCCAACAGAGTGTTCTCTCTTGTGGGGTTTCAGTAGAAGTCAGAGTCTCCACATGCCCAGATAGGAGGCTGAGCAGGAGAGCAGGAGAGCACGAAGGCTCACGTACCTGAGTTACTAGAGGCTCTGCCAGTGGGGTCTTTGAACCTTAGAAATGTAGCTGTACTGGAGAGACCTTGTTGGCCCCCACTGGCTGAAGAGGCTGGGACATCTGGTCACTCACACTTAAGGCCCCATTTTCCTTTACGATGTCTCGCCTGTTCGGCTGTTTCTACAGGTCTACACAACCCTCAGAGCACCCCTTCCCTGACCTCTGACTTCTTGCTTCCTTTTGACACCGAATTAAGCTATAGTCTGAGTTTCTCAGGGCACAGAGGCTGTGACGAACCTTGATCACAGGTCAGATGGAAGTCAGAGGGCTTGCTTTGCAGCAGGAAAGATTTGGATTAGATAGAGGGAAGAATTTCTTTCCAGTGAGGTGGTTGAACATTGAATATGTTTCCATGTGACACTGTACAAGTCAAACCCACTCTGTGCCTTTTTTCCCATCAACTCCCTCAGTGAGGGCTGAGTCATAGGGTAGAGAGTCCAGAGCTTAGATGACAGGTCCTGGTAAATTTCATTCTTTCTCTCAGTTTTTCATTTAAAAATCAGTCCTGGCCTCGCTTTGCAACACACAGGGGGTTCCTTGCTTGGCTGGGTTCCTTACTACAGTTTGGCAGGGTGCTGCCTGACACAAGCAGACTGACAGTCTGAACTCATTGCCCTACCCGGCATGGAATAGCTTCTCCACTGAGGAGTTGCTCAGGAGTTGCTTTCAGCCAGCAGAGGCTGCTGTTGGGCAGATTCGTGCAGGAGTGAGCCCTCGCTGGTTTCTGCTGCCATGTTCGGTGAGGGGATGCTACTGGTTGTCCCTCTACCAGTTTGGCTGGGGCCCATCATGACCTGGGTGGGCTGTGGGAAGGTCCAGTATCTACCTGGTTGTGTTTCTGTATCTGATGGGTGGATGGGAAGTTAAGAGAAGATCCCACCTGCCCAGATAGCTGGGAGGATCTTTAGAAATTCTTGCCTGCTCTGCAGGCATTGGAGGTGTTCTGTGGTTCCAAGACACCTTGACCTCCTTAGGGAAGCCTGGAACCAGACTATGCTGCTATCAGATCTCTGACCTTAAAGCAGACAACTTACCCATCATGGGAAGTAGATAAAGTTCTCCAGAGACCCCTTGGGTTTAAATCTGTACTCCTTCAAGACCATCTTTGTGTTCCACTTGAGATACCTCTGGGAGTAAGGGGGTCTCCAGGATGCTTTGGACCAGCTTGGCCCCTTTGGGTTGGTACTTAAACCAAGATGTATCCCAGCTCCTGTCTCCAGTCCAGTGTAAGCTCTTGACAATAACGGCCACCACCCTCTTCCCTAGCATCCACCTGGCCCCACTCATTCCCTCTCCTAGCTTTAGCTCAGCTCTTCTTCTCCTAGATCAGGACATCTGCAACATGGCTGCTGTTCCCCATTCACCCCCAGTCCTACCTGAGATTCATGTCACCTTTTATAGCCAGACTGAAGACATTGGACAGGTTTCCCCCAGGTGAGCAGCCGCAGATCAGGATGGCCAGTGCCTCAATATTTTTCAGCCGAAAGACCTTGCCCAGTGCAAAGGCAGTGAGGGGCATGATGCCATACTGTGCCACCAGGGCGATGGCCAACCCCTTAGGCTTCCATAAGTGAGCCTTGATCTTGCTGAACTCCATGGTGCAGCCCAGCGAAAGCATGATGAGGAGGAGCAGTAACACCAGGAGGACGCTTAGCGCCAGGTCGGTGGGGCGCTTGCCAAAGTTGGGTGGGAGGGTGAAGTTGAGTGGGGCAGATGCGTTGTGGGCTTGCATCCTCCTGTGTGGCAGTGGAAGGCTGAAGGATGCAGCACACCCCTTACTCGTCTACTGATTCCTTTCCCTGCCCAGTCCTTGCTGGGCGTCTTCTTCAGTCTCCTCCCAGAGCAGAGAGCTTCGGGCCAACATGTAGCTCTGGGCAAACACAAAGATTATGCAATTATCTGTGCAGCCTGTCTGGCTGCGGTCCCAAAGGGGAGAGTGCCCAGAGCCTTCTCTGCCTCTCCCAGCTCCATGGCTCCGCTGCCTGGCTGGGGGCATCACACTCCTCCCTGTGCATTTTGCTTCTCCCAGGACAAGAGGGGCTTATTCCTCTTCACCCCCAACTGGAACGCCTTAAAGGTTTTCTGTTCTGGGGACAGTCTAGGCCTGCAGCAACCCAGGTCTAGTCCTCCTCATTCCTGGCAGTCATATCCATCTGCCCTCCAACCCATGGAGTGGAGAGTTTAGTGTCACCTTCCTTCCTGGACATAGGGAGCATATCCCGAGTGGCTGTGGGACAGCGTAGGGGCAGCTGTGTTGGCCTCCAGGAGGAGATGCGTCCGTGATTCTTCTCCTGGGAGCTGAGAGGGGCCCATGTCCTTTTTGCCTGTTCTGGGGAAACCCTTGTCTTACCCCAAACCTGGACGGTACAAGTCCAGGGTGAGGAACACGCTCCCCAGCACACTTCAGAGGGAAGAGCCTGCTGGGATAGCTGAGGGGTTCTCAGAAAGTTGGGGGTCTCTCTCCCTAAAAGGCAGCTCTGAGGGAACCCTGGCTATGGAGATTTATTTGTGCTCAGATCTCCTGGCCAGCAGCCCAAGGAGCCCCCCAAGTAATCCCTGGGGATACTTGCTGAGAAGGAGGCTGGGATGCATAGTTTTTCTTCCTGATTTCCGGCTGCTTTACTTTTGCTCGGTGCCTGTGTGTCTTAGGCTGAGAGCCACGCTCTGGGCGAGCAGCTGCAGTAGAGAGGGGCAGGCGTGCCTGGGGTAGGTGAGCTGTGTGTGGCTGTCTTGAGCCTCCCTCCTCCCATCCCAATGACAGGGTTAGTACTTCAGAGGTGGGACATCTGCAGAGCAATGGCCCCTTGGCTGGGGTGGAACCCACGAGGCCTGGGTGGGGTCTCATTGTTTCATATTTGTGAAATAGGAGATTAGGCTTTTTGTGTGGGATTCCAGAGGACAGGACAGGGCACAGGGTGTGAATGGCTATAGGATGAGGTGGGGACAGATTTTGGCTTGGTATGACGAACCATCTAAAAATGAACACTCCAACAATAGCCCCAGGCTGGATTTCTCTGGAAGTCTGAGTGTATACGGGTCCTGCAACAGGATCCGTACACTGTCTGTCATGTGCGTGAGAAGCAGCTCCTTAAGAGTTGTGCAATGCACACAGCCTGTGGGCTGTACACCCGGGCCCTGAGTGACACGAACTTGAAGCCCCATTCCCTCTGAGAGTCTCTGTTGTTAATCATTTCCTGGTGCTTGAATTGATCTGGTCTCCAGGGGAAGGAAGGCACAGTGCTGGGTACTGAACTGAATGCTGCTGGTGGGGGTACGTAGATGTGGGGCTGAGTGTGCCTGGAGGGACAGGGACAGGTCCAAAGAGGGCTGCTTTCTGTCCCTGGAGCTGGTCAGAAGCTCCCTAAGAGTGTTCTTTTCCTACATATACACATACATATATGTGTATATGTATTGTGGGTGAAATTATAATATTTCAGGAATATCTCACCTGGCTTTAGTTCATCTGCATATGAACAGGCATTTCTCAAGGGTGGAGAAAAGTTCATCTCCGTATCAATGGGTAATTACCTGGGCAACTGAGGGCTTATCTGAACCTGAGAGGTTAAGGGGAGTTTTTGCTTGCTTCTGCCTGAGCAGGAAAAGATGGCACTGACTGCAGTTTGTAAGCAATAAATGGGTTTTAAACTTTATTTCTCCCTTTGACTGATTTTGATTTTAGAGGTATTTTGCTCCAGGATTTCCTCTCCTTGGAGTTACAGTATATATATGAAACAATATTATACTCAGTAGTAATAGTAGTATAATTTCGTTCAGGTTCTCAGACCCCATTCCAATGTGTGTAAGTATGGGGGAGGAGATCTTCCCACACATTAACACCAAGCAATTCTCAAACAACAGCAGGGTGTCCGAGAACTCAATTCTGATGCTATCTGCTCTGAGACATGTAAGTCTGGGGAGAGGAAATCCTGGAGCAAAATACCTCTAAAAACCAAAATCAGTCAAAGGGAGAAATAAAGTTAAAAATCCATTTATTGCTCACAAGCTGCAGTCCTGGGCTGCCTCTCTTTCCTGCTCCAGCAGAAGCAAAACCGGCCCTCCCCTCACCTCTCAGGTACAGATAAGCCCTCCTTGCCCAGGCAATTACCTATTGATATGGAGATGAACTTCTCTCCACCCATGAGGAATGATGTAAATGCACTAAAGCCATACTTCTTTCCACCTCTGAACGCCTATTGATATGCAGATGTAGTAAAGCCAGGCAAGATATTCTGGAAATATTACAGTTTCACCCACAGACAGCACTAGATTCCCCAGATTAAGGGCTCTGTCCTACAAGATTGCCCTCCACCCCCAACTCAGATGCCGGAAGCAAGCCACAGGCTGTTACCTGTGCTTCTGACCTACTGGCTACAGATTGGAGGTTCCCATGACAACCCCCTTAGTTTCGGTTAATTTGCTAGAGCAGCTCACAGAACTCAGGAAAACACATTTACCAGTTTAATAAAGGATACAAGTTAGCAGCCAGATGAAGAGAGACATAGGGCAGGTCCCAAATAAAGGAGCTTCTATCCTCATGGAGCCTGGGGCCTGGCTCAGCGGCATGTGGAGGCATTCTCATTCCCCAAGCATCTCTCTCTTATCAAGAAGCAGGATGCAACCAAGCAGAGCAGAGAGAGCCATAAGCTTTTCTCCCGGGGGTTTTGTGAGGGCTTCATTGCATAGTCATGATTGACTAAATTATTGGCCATTGGCTGATTCAACCTCTAGCCCCTGCCCTTGGGTGGGGTCCAAAAGTCTCTCGTTAACATGACAAAACACCCATTTCACCTTTAAGACTGCAGTGTTTTCAGGAACTGTGGATGAAGACCAAATACACCTGGGAAATGTCTATTTGGTCATGTGAATGACCAAATATGTATTTCTTATGACTCATTGTATCATACTCCCTGATAATGTTGGTAGGGGAGAACTATTGATTGTCAACTGAGTGCCAGGCACTATGGGGGTATAAAAAACTATGTAATCCATGTTCCTGTCCTCAGGGACCTTATGGTTCCTGTGAGATCACAGGTGACCAGATGGCACACAGTGCAAAGCAGAGGCACGTGAGGGTGGAGTCCATGTAGGGCTGCTGTGTACAGTTGTGCACAGTGTGTACTGCACAATGCTGGGGATGCTACCCACTCAGACACCCTGGGCAACCATACCCGGAGTGCTGAAGCTAAAAAGAGCAGTCAATCAGTAACTGTTACTAGATCAGGGCTTCAGGATGTGTCTTGGTCAAATCATGCACATAAAAAGAGCAGAGCTTTTATTAACACATCTGTAAACTGGATACTAAGCCATTTAATTTCGACCAACTCTCCCTCCTCACCTCTTCTCAGAAATCCAGAGTTCTACTTCCTATTGTGGATTTTTCCCTTTGGGAAAACACACTTTTGTCCTGGCCCCACGTCCCTCCTCACTCTTCCCTTTCTGTTTGCTCCTAGCAATGTGACTTTGTAGAGATTGGAAAAATCCCTTTTAGGAAGCTACAGCCTCTGTCCTATTCTCCTTGTCTTTCGTGCACCTAGTCTGATGCTATAAAATTTGGGGGGTGGATCTTTTGTGTAATATTAATGATAACTGACAGTTATTGTGCATATACTATGTGACAATGTGATTTAAATTACATTTCTTATTTAGTCCTCACAACAGCCTTATGAGGTTGGTGCTATTACTATCCTGGTTTTCACATTTTAGGAGAGTAAGGGTCAGTAAGTAAACTATGTGCCCAATTCAAACAGCTACTGAGTGGTGGAATTGTAATTCACACCCAGGCCTGGAGGTATGGTGTTCACACCCAGCCTGATTCCATGCTCCTAACTGCTGTGCCGTGTTGCTTTCTCACATTCCTTGTTCTGCCTTCTCTTACTTCTCTAATTACTCTGCTTTTTGAGACCTGGAAGCTTTGTCAGTGAGGCTGGATGGAATCTTTGTGGAGGTATCTTTTCTAATAAACCATGTTCCCAGGTTGAAGGCCATGATGTTTGATATCTTCATCTCCCAGGAGTGTACTGTGGAAAAGACTGTTCTACCAATTTCTTATTTCCTTGAAGGGTCTGAATTAATCCCTTACAATAAGTCCTCATATCACCATAGGCTCCTTGATCTAATCTCATTGGTTCTTCCAGTAATGATTTCAAAGGGTGAGAGTTTAGGTCTCCCATGGGGAATGGATCTTAGATTCAGTAGTTCTGAGGGAAGAGCTTTTGGCAGTGGTGGATGGAAATATTCCATAAGTTTTGCCAACTGGGTTTTTATAACACCATTGATTTGTTCTATAGGGCTGGATGATTGGGGATGATAGGCATAGTGAAATGTTGCATTATTGGCCAAATGTGACAAACAGTTTGTAATATCTGTCTAGTGAAATGGAATCCTCGGGCATTGTGAAATTCTAATGTTATTCCCCAATTTGGAATACTTTTTTCTCGAGTAATATTTTTCCTATAATTGAGGCTGTAGTTAGTGACTTGAAAGGCTTCTACCCAATGAGAAAACAGACAAACCATTATTAAACATATTTTTATCCTCGAGATGGTGGCAGTCGGATAAAATCCAATTGCTATATCTCAAAGGTTCAGAAGTCAAGGGAAATGTCCAATTGAAGTATAAATAGGTTTCCCTGGATTATGTTTGAGGCAAATTTGACATTTGAAAAGTTATTTTAGGGGATGGTTTCTAATAGTACTGTTTTCTCCAAAGGATCATCTTCTCTGTGTTCAGTGGTTAGTTTATGCACATAGTTGAGGATTTGTTCCTGGAGGCAACCAGGAAGGACTGGTCTGCCATTTGGGTCATACCAGAGTTTCTTTTCAGAGTTAAATTCAGTTTTGT